AGTCCACTCATCTTAAACTTGCCAAGGTTGAGAAACACTGATTTAAACAATATGATGTAGAGAGTTAGCTTACTTCATGTTACCTTGTGGAAGCTAAAACTAACTTCCTCTTATCTGTGTGCTGGGTGGGGTTAATTATTTGCATGACGTATTAACCTCTTCCCTTCATTCAATTAAGTGTGTTGTTGGAGGCAATCTACCCAGCAAGGTATCATTTTTCAAGGCACAGCTCCCAAACGCCTGCTTCTTGTTCAAACTCCTCACCAGGAACAAAACATTGACTTATGAAATCTCTGTTGCAATGATGCTTTCTTATTCTGGCTTTTAAAGGGGACAATCGAGTGACTGAAATGCCAGGTTTGACCGCCTTGCAAACACTTTTTATGCGGGAGCACAACCATCTGTCCACTGAGCTGAAGAGGCTGAACCCACAAATGAATGGAGAAGAACTCTATCAGGAGTCCCGGAAAATCTTGGGAGCAATGATGCAGGTGTGGGATGAATAGATTCTTGTGGTTGTTTGCACAAAATGAAGGCACAATTCTGCACCCCTCTGTGCAGCCCAGAGTAACCAGTCTTACTGTGTAGGATCATTAGGACAGGACACTGAATGACCCAGGCATGACACCTACCATCTAAATTTAGTTGTTATTGTATTTGTCTCTTAGATTTCTATCTCACCTTTCTTCCAGCAGCTCAAGATAACATGTGTAATACTCTCTCCTTGATTTGCCCCCTCCCCAACAACAGCTCTGTGAAGTGTGCTGGCTAGGAACTTTTGTGGCTGAGCCTGGACTTGAACCTGGGTCTTCCTAGTCCTAGTCCAACATTTTAACCAGTAGACCATACTGGCTCTCCTAGAAGTGAACCCAAAATCTATACAATTCAATTTAAGGAAAGAAACCCTTGCTTATTAGCAGAGTTTCCTCCAAATACTCCCACTATCTCAAAGCAGAGATGGTCTACTCTCAGGACATGATGGATGTCTTCATAGGTCAGAGCTTTGGCAGTGCATCTGCAACTTCAGAAGCCTTTCTTGGTGATGATCAGTTTAACTTGGGGCTCATCCTTCTAGCATGTTCTTCCATAACTTTTAAGAAATGCATTTGCTTAGAGGTAATAAGCCATTCTGTTAGGGCAGTGTTGTCCAAACTTGGCCACTTTAAGATGAGTGGACTTCAACTCCCAGAGCGCAGATTAAAAAAAAAAAAAGTCAGCAGAAAAGTATCTTGACAAACAAGTAGTCCCCAGTTTAAGGACGAGTTCCATTCCCAAGGACTGTCCTTAAGTCAAATCTGTATGTAAGCCAGAACAATATTATTGTATAATACTGTATAAGTAGTATTGTGTAATGAATTGGAACCATTGTGTATTTAACTTGAATTTTTCTACAGTAGGTTCCATTCTTAACTATGGGTCATCCTTAAACTGGGCATTCTTAACCTGGGGACTCCCTGTATGTTGTCCCACCCCCACAGCTGGGCATTCCTGTGCCTCCATAATGAGGCTGGTTTTGTTGCTGAACTTAAAATGTTTATTGTGGGGTTTGGGGGCAGTGCTTGATGGATTTCCTGGTTTCTTTTCCCTTCCCATCAGCTTCCTGTATCATCAGGAAAACCAACTACCAAAGGGTCTCCTGAATGTGGAGTGGTGCAGGGTTGGGTTGCTAAGTGTGCTCCCTGTTTCATCCCATGTCCCTTTTAGATTCCATCAGACCACTGAGACAGAATATTTTCAGGGTTTTGGTTTTTTCTTTGCAAGTCAGGATTAATATATATCCATTTTTTTTATCACTTGACATGGGGACATTGATTATTTGATCTCCTGAAGATGCAGAAGGATAGATCAATATTTCCATAGGCCCACCTTCTCCATTCTCTCCCCTTTTAAAAGAAAATATATATAAGCAGGGAAAATGAATGATAATTGAGGGGAATTGCATTCAGGCTTCTATACCTTCCTTGATTCAAATAACTCATTAAATCATACAATAAGCTGATTCTGAAAAGGAGTTCCAGGAGGCTTACTACACTTTTTTCTGTGCCAAAACAAACTGATATTTGAAACTGGTGAATCCACAGAATTTCACAGCCCCTGCAGTTGTGGGTAGAGTGACTTGGGAGAAACAGGTGTTTGAAACAAGAGGTTGCTTCACCCTTTCCAACCCATTTGGATCTCCCTTGTCTTCATGTAAACTGAAATATCTCTTGGGGAATCCTGGCTGACAGCTGCTTCTTCTGAAGAATGCCACGATAGGCATTTCTAGCACAACAAGGACCCAATTCTTTGCTGCCACCCACAAGGCTTACAGAAGGCAAAATTCAGGAAAAGGGGTAGATGTGGGAATGGAGAAGGGAGCATTTCTCCAGATTTAGGGGCTGCTCTTGGGGAAATATTTTTTCCATCCCCGGCTTGCTTCCCATTGTGTGTTTATAGTGCATCCCTCAATCTAGAGGGAATTTGGTTTAATCCATTGCCACCCAGATTTTGGGCAAAATGGTGTGCAAGTTGTCACAGTGGCCAGGTAGGAGATCCATCTGCTTGACTTTCCCTAACATGCAGTTAGCAACCTAAACAGCAGGCAATCCATAAGGAGAAACGGATGTTTCATCCCTCGGACTTCTACAGCATGTTCCAAACTTATACTGATGCTTGATCAGCTTCACGTGGCTGGCTGGGGAATTCTGGGAGTTGAAGTCCATACATCTTAAAGTTGCTGAGATTGAGAAACACTGCTCTAAAGCTGTCTTTGCCAACATGGTGCTCTATGGATGGACCTGCCTTCAGCAGCCATCGAATGTTTGGTCTAGCCTTCACTGTAAAGATGTTTCCAAGCAGTCTTTAATTTAATGCAAGCTATCTACTCCTTCTAGGTCCCAATGAGTCTTTCCCAACTAACAGATCTCTTTCCTGGGAATGACTTTCCCCATTCATGGAAAATTGTTGCCAGAAAGAAAGCTTCAGTAGCAGCTTGACCTGTCAGGGTTTGGTCACTGACAGGGGTCGTAGGGGATCCGGGCAGAGGGTGCACATCGCTGGGGACTTAGTGTCTGCATTCCACATCGTATAAAGCACTGTGTGTGAAACAAGGTTCATGTGTTGTGCAGTTTCAAAAAACTGGTTAATACCAGTTTATGGCTCATAACAGTTCCTCCCTCAGGCAGTGATCCCAACACCATGATTTAGGAAAGGGGTCTTAAATATTTGCTGACATAATATCAATGTCCTGAGTTTAAAGTATTCTGTCTTGTCGTGAGCCTGCAAAAGAGAGAGAAACCAAGCAAGTATATAGAAAACATAGGAATGTAAGAACAAACCTCATGGCATCGTGTTGGGGAAGATTAGAAGTAATATTAGTCAGAAACATTTGCCTGAATTAATAGCTTTCTTCCAATAGGGCCATGACTCTTCTTCTTCTTCTTCTTTTTTTTGTCCTTTTGCTCCAGAAAATCACCTATACAGAATATCTACCTGCAGTACTGGGGAACTCCATGACTCCCTACAGGGGCTACAACGACTCTGTGGATCCCCGAATTGCCAGCGTCTTCACCATTGCTTTCCGTTTTGGGCATACTTTGGTGCGGCCCACTGTGCCTCGCTTAGATAGCCGTTATCAGCTTCTGAGTCAAATACCCTTAGAAGAAGAGTTCTTCGCTACATGGAGAATTATCCAAGATGGTAAGGCCCAGCAAGTGGCCAGCCTTGGCTGATCTCAAATGATTAAGCTGAGCTGGACTTGGTTAGTTCTTGGAAATCCCAGGGCTAGATGTAAGGCAGCAGTAAACCATTTCTGTATTACTGCTAAGAAAACTACAAGAATGTGTCCATAAAGTCACCAGGACCTGGCTCAGCTCAAGAGAGTCCTTAACTTTTAAGATTCCTACAGAAGATGGCATGCTCTAGAATCAGGACTGAGAGTTAACTTCTCACCAAAACCTGATGACTTTTCTTCAGCGGTAGCCTTCTGTAGTTTGTTGAATACTCCTCTTTGAGAGAAGGGGGAGGGGGGTTCCACTGTTTCTGAAGGAGGCAGTGGTCTGGCCCCTCCTTAAGAGGCCATTGCTGGAAGCAACAATATTGAACAACTTTCATCCAGTTTCCAATCTTCCCTTTTTGGGGAAGATTGTGGAGGTGGCAGTTGTGTAGCAGCTGGAAAGAACTCTGGAAGAAGCAGATTATTTGGAGCCCTTTCCATCAGGATTCAGGCCCAGATATGGGACCAAGTCAGCATTGATCACACTCTTGAATGATTTCTGGTGGGAGCAGGATGGGGGTGGTGCATCCGTCCTTGCTCTTCTTGACCTTTCAGCAGCTTTCAATACCATCAGTCAGGGTATCCTTCTGACTGGCTTTGGAGTTTGAGGGTGGATGGCACCGTGTTGTATTATTTCTCTTTCTTCTTCTGGGGCCAGTTCCAGTCAGTGTTGGTAGGGGAGGAGAGGCCAGCCCATGGCCTCTGCTATGTGGGCTACTGCAGAGCTCAGTGCTCTCTCTCCTCTCCTGCTTAATATCTACATGAAACTGCTGGGTGAGGTCATCCGTCAGTTCGGGGTATGGTATCATCAGCAAGCTGGTGATACCCAGTTATATATCTCCATCCTAGGCCATCCAAGTGATGCCATGGAGGTCCTGTCTGGAGGCTGTGAGTGTCTGGATGGTGAACAACAGGCTTTGGCTCAACCCTAGAAAGTCTTTGGGTTTTAGGACCCCCTGGCTCTGGGGCAGTGCAACCCCAGCCTCTGGATGGGGTTGCACTGCCCCAGACAGCTCCTGGGCACAATGTGGGGGTCCTCCTGGACTTGCAGCTCCTGCTCAAGGAACAGATGGTAGCTGTGCCCAGGAGAGCCTTTGCACAGCTTTGTGTTGTGCACCAGGAGGCCCAGCTCACAGTCACTCATGCCTTAGTCACCTCCCAATTGGATTACTGCAACACATTCTACATGGGCTGCCCATGAAAAGTATGTGGAGGCTTCAGCTGCTGCAAAATGCGATGGCGCAGACAGTTATGGATGCTGGTTGTTCAGCACACATGACACAACGACTTTGTGAACTGCATTGGCTACCAGTATGCTTCTAGGTGCAATTCAAGATGCTGGTTGTTACCTTTAAAGTCCTTCAGGGCTTGGGGCTGGGTTACTTACTCTCCCCAGTGATATCTACCCATCCTGTTAGATCCGGCAGGAGAGGCATGCTCTGGGTCCCGTCCACAAGAGAGTTCCACCTGACCCAGGACAGAGCCTGTTCTACGATGGGTCTTTTCTGCTGTGGTGCCCATCCTCTGGAATATCACTCCCCTCCCCCCAATATTAGACTTGCCCCAACCCTGCTGGGCTTTCACCAGCCATTAAAAATTTGGCTTTGCTATCTAGCCTGGGGCCCTGGCAGTACAGGTGAATCCGTTTCATGGCTGATTTGAATGTGGGATGTTATGAGTTGTTCTCAGCTGCCATTTTATGCTATTGATGATTTTTTTCAAATTTTGGTTGTTTTTACTGTTTTTATTTTTCATTGTTAACTGCCCAGAATCATGTATATGAGTTGGGTGGCCATATAAATTTATTAAAGAAATAAATCTTTTAAGATTAAATCATCTTTAAAATTAAATAAGGTTAAAAAAATAACTGGGAATAATTAAGGGGTCTCTGCTTAAATGCACCTGCACAAAACACGTGTGAAAATCTGGCTGAGTTTTGACTGGTCTAGCTATCAACTCTTATTGCTTCCTCCTTATCTTGATCACATTAAGGACAGCATTTGGTGGATGTTTTCCCACCGTCCAGTGATGTTTGGTGGGAGAAATAAGAAATCCAGGGGAATCCACCCATCCTTGTCCTGTACATCATAAACAAGAACGGGGTTATTTGGTGTTATTGTGTAACTGGAATGGCCAGGAAGGGGAGTCAGCAAATGTTATGCCTGTTTAGTTTTCTGCTGCCTGAAGAACTGGTAGGCTACCCACTCCATTGCTGAGGTTTCTCCTTATGTTTGGTTGAGATCTGTGGATGGGCATCACTTTTGAACGTTATTTCCTCTCTGTTCCAGGAGGCATTGATCCCATTCTACGAGGCCTAATAGGTATATCAGCCAAACGGCTGAGACAAGATCAGATAGTAGTAGAGGCTCTCCGAGACCGACTCTTCCAACAAGTTGCTAGGATTGGATTGGATCTACCAGCATTGAACATGCAGCGTGGCCGAGACCACGGCCTACCAGGTAATAAGGGCAGAGTGTTCCCATTTTGCAGCAAACTTCAGAGATTGTGGATTGCTGCTGAATAGCCAGAAAATAATGTAGGTAATTACAGAAGTCCCTCAGGAGCTCAACCTTAAAAATATTTTGAGATTGCAACATAGAGCAGCACTCGAGGGGACATCGTTTTTCCAATGAGCAGAACTTTTGACCGCTTTTCTTGCTCTACAGGTTATAATGCCTGGAGGCAATTCTGCGGCCTCTCCCAACCTCGCAATGAAGCTCAGCTGGCCCAGGTCCTCCAGAATCCTCAGCTGGCCAGGAAGTTAATTCAACATTATGGGACGCCCAACAACATCGACCTCTGGATTGGGGGAGTGGCTGAGCCCTTCGTCCGCAATGGCAGGGTTGGGCCTCTGTTGGCCTGTATCATTGGAAAACAGTTGCAAAATGTTCGTGATGGAGACAGGTGAGCCAATATAGAAAATGTGCCATTTTATTGTGGCCTCTTGATCTTCTATAGAGCAGATTGACCCAAAGTTGTTTCACGACAGAAAAGAAAAATAGAAGGTGGTACTGCTGCTCAGGGACAGAGGATGTGCTTTGAATGAGTAAGATTCAGTCCCCAGCATTCCCAAACACTGTATTTACCTGGAAGGAAGATGGCCCCTGAAAGAAACTACACATACAACAAACACAGACAAAAATCTCTGTGTTGCTCAGTTTCCCCATCATGTCAACTTAGAGTTACCAACTCCAGCTGAAACCAGTGCCGGAGTTCCCCCTGTCCATAAGTGCACACATGTGTAACAGTTGGGCAACCCAAAACACCTGCGTAACTACTGATTAAAATGGATGCAAACATTTAAAAAGAGGAAGGGCAACAAGTTGCTTCAGTAATGAAGGGTAGGAAAGAGGAAGAGAGAGCAAAACTGGACAGGGATGAGGTGAATGAAAAGGATCAGAGAAGGAAAGAAAAACAGCAGGGAATCTAAGTATTTCAGAAAGGGTAAAATCAGGGGTCTCCTCTGGATTGGTAAAAAAAAATCAAAATGGTAGCCACAATCAAAACTCCAGCCCATTTTTTGTGCATTTGACATTAAAAAATGGTTTGGAGCTTCGATCACCCCATTGTGGCCATCCTCTTGACTTTTTTGACCTCATCTTGTGGACAGTAAAATTCACCAGGCAAACACCCCTCCCAGGGAAGAGCTAATCTCCACATTAATCTTTTGAGGTGTTCACCCTTTTTAATGTGCGTCTGCACTCATTTACATCTCTTGTTCATTCCTTTGTTTTCAACAGACTCTATTTTTATCACGACTGGTAATTATTTGAGGGGAAAATCTTATTTTCCTTTTGGATAAATGAGACAGATTTGAAATCTTGGGAAGCCACTGCTAATCAGGTTCGACTATATAGGGCAAGATGGATTGATGATTTGAATCAGCTTCTAAACTTCTTATATATTACAAATAAAATAGCGGTAAAACTGGGAAATGTTCTGTGAAAGTCTCACATTAAATAAAATCTTACCAAAAGAGGGGAAAACAAAATGGAATTTTTAGCTGGGTCCAGCTCCTCCCTTGAGGTCATGTTAGCTTATGAGAGTTCTTTTTTTCTTTCATATATAATACACAGACACACATATAATAAATTGATATGACTGCCCATCTCATATACATGACTCTCGGTGGCTAACAATTACAACAAAATAAAAAGAGTAAAAACACAACCAATAATTAAAAAGAATTATTTTTCTTTTAGGTAAATGAGATAGATTTGAAATTTTGGGAACCCACTGCTAATCAGGTTCTACTACACACACACACACACACACACACACACACAGAGTGGCCATATTTTTTTTGGAAAAAATAAAGGAAAAACCTGAAAAAGGGGCAAATCTGAAAGAGGTTCATAAGGATAAATAATTTTCATGGATGATGTCTATAAATTTGCTTTACAAAGGAAAATTCAAGAGTAAAAACAAAAACCTTTACCAAAGCACATATTCTAATAAAAATACCTAAAATCAAACAGTATACATAAATGTATTTTAAAAAATAATTCGATTTCCATATCTTTCACATGAACGTGAAAGACTGTGCATTAAGTGGGACCATTTGTACGGTAAAAGTTAAATGACCAAAATTAAGGACAAATGAATTTTTGAAAAATAAATCTAAAGGATAGCTTTCTGAAATAAAGCGCCGTCCTTTACAACAAAGGATGTATGGTCACTGTGACTATATCGGGCAAGATATATCTGGAGGCCGGTGCTCATAGGACCGTTTTCCTGTTCTTTCCAGGTTCTGGTGGGAGAACTCTGGAGTGTTCACCCCAGCCCAGCGACAGGCTCTTAATAGAGTCACATTGTCACGTATCATCTGTGACAATACCTTCATCCGTGAGGTGCCTCAGTTCATTTTCCGAGCCAACCAATACCCGCGCAATTTTGTCAGCTGCAATACCATCCCAATGTTCAGCCTCTTCCCATGGAAAAAGTCTTCTGAGTAGATCAGCGAAGGTAAGAGGCATTTGGTCTTGGATACAGCTATGCCATCTTTGGATTTGCACTCATGAGCTTTTCCTTGGGAAGTGACATAACCTTAGAACGTTGCTGCCATACAGGAGTTGTTGTTGTTGTTCAGTCGTTAAGTCGTGTCCGACTCTTCGTGACCCCATGAACCATATTGCACCAGGCCTTCCTGTCCTTCACTGCCTCCCGGAGTTTGCTCAGTTTCATGCTCACATACAGGAGTTATAAACCAATATTCCCCGGAACAGGGATGCAAAGATTTGTGGAGGGGGGGAGGTTACAGAGAGGGATATGGGCAGTCTTTTCTGAACCCTCTCCTCCACCCCCCCCATAACTCTTCCCAGTGTTTTGTCCTCTGTTGCCCCAGCTCAGTATTTCTCAACCTCAGCAACTGAGGACTAGCTGGGGAATTCTGGGAGTTGAAGTCCACGCCTCTTAAAGTTGCTGAGATTGAGAAACATTGCCCTTGCTGGCTCTGAGATCAGAAAAAAAGCTCTTGCGGCAATATAAATAGACTAGGGCTGCAAAGGAAAGGGGCAAGCAAGTAGAGCCATGTGTGTGTATGCATACATGCGCAACCTGGATTCACACAATTTGCTAAATCATAACACAACAGCTGCTTCCATCATACGCTAAAGTCTAACAAATGACCCATTTACAGCTTTTCCTGTAACATTCTGAACTATGAGCCAACCAACCCAAATTAGTCTTGTCTAGCATGATGCACAAACCCAGCTCATGCACGCAACATGCAATACTGCAAATCCCCGACTGCATACTGATTTTGTTCAGAGATTCCAGGAGTTGAAATCTGTGGCTTCCTACATAATATGGACAGCTAAAGTGCATCCGATTCCTTGAGAAGATCCAGGAAGAATCTTTCCTTAAACTCAAACTGATCTGAACCCCGAAATAACCTTTTTATGGCTCATTTCCCCTAACGCGGATCCTAAGCAGCCTCTGCCTGTGTTTTTGCAACCACTATGGGCTGTTGAACCAACAGAGGTAGTTTGGTACATACTCAGTTGGGTCGTTGTGGGGACTTAGGAATAGGAGATTTTGTTAGGGGTCCCCTTCCAATGTGTTGTCGGGGGGGGGACCACCAGGTGCAGATTCAGTGCCCTGCATCCTAAACCAGCCTCAAATTCATCGCTGCACACAATTTTTGAAAGGAAAGTTAACAGAGGTTCTACCCTTTTCATCCTCCCTCTCTTAGAGATCCGGAGGACAGGTTTATTCAGTTTATGCTATTAAAGCATAGTTGTCATTTTGCTCTGCAAGCAGCAATTCTGCTTTATTTTGTACCAGTTCCCATTTAATTTGATGAAGCAGAATAGCTTCAACATTTCATTCACAGGAGACGGACTTTTGGTGAAATATAATGGACAGAGTGTGGTGGAGGATATGCCACACTAGCTATTGGTTGTACGGAGCTTGGTTCTTTTGACCTTGTCACGAAAACAATTTTTCTAATATTTTTTTTCTCTCTCTCTCCTCTGCAGAAGAACATCCCAACAGGTTCTGCTAACAACCTGGAATTTTTGTTTTTGAGAAAGCGTTCTTTAATTTGCTTTAGCTGTTTTCCCTTGCTGTCATTGCTCAATTTGGAGAAATGAGAAAGGAGCGCCAAATTAAAATAGCTGCTCTACAATGTTCAAGTCATGTATACTTCTTCAAATCACACAAGGCAATGAAATTATACAAGGATCTCTGTTTGGGGAGTGCATGAATATGGTTGCAATCCCCTTCCTGTTATCTTTGAAACAGAGCTGGGTTTGGGGAATGTACAGTTATTTGCCACTGGTATTTAGGTTGTGCAAAAATAATCCCCCAAGTTTTTAAAAGATGCTTGAAATTTCACCCAGGAATCTTTTGAGCCTAACACCTTGTGAACTGATGCATTTTACTTTTTGTCAAACATATGCAAAAATACATGTTCATTTGTACATTTCTAATCCAGAAAGCTTGAATCTGGAGGGAAATGAGGGCAGATGCATAATTAATGTGCTTTAGGGAGATCTATTTAACATAAAACTTGGAGAACTACCAGTCAGACAATATCGTGCCACATAGAGCAATAGCTTACAGGCATAGCAGCTTTTTGTATTTCTGAATTCAAAAAGTATTTACACAGGTCCTTGTATCCATCCATTTTTATTAGTAATGTGATCATTTCAATAGCTCACTTTAAAAATAATCAGATCTTACTCCCAGCTATGCCTAGGCAATCATTAGAATACAAAACTGATTCTAAGCAACAGGATGTTAATCCACATACATTGTACACCCACACCCAGAGTTCATAAGTGACAGTGTTGCATGCCCAACTAACACCAGTACTTTGTGTACATGACTGTAAAGAAATATCTAAATCGAGCTTCACGTTTGTAAATTTTTCAGAGCCCCGTGGAACAAGCTTACATACTCTAAAGAAAATGAAAATGTCTAGTTTATTTATACTTTATTTATATTTATTTATACATTCGATTTTATTCTCCGCCCATCTCTCCCCAATGGGGAGCAAAGTACATATACCATCCTAACAGTGAGAAACATTACAATGCGTGGTATTACGCTATGTGACCAGCAGGGGCCGCTAGGGGGACATCCGGGTTTTTTTCCCTCTTCCGTAGATCTTTCTCGCCGCTCGCATCGATCGTCGGTCGTGTCGGCTGCATTCGAAGTTCGGCCAGCACCGGTATTTTGCTCCCCCGCGCAGCCCCGCCGATTCCTCCCATCTAAACGGGAGTCCCCATTTATCTACTCGCAGATAGTTGCTCATCGAGATGTCTTTTAAACAGCCATACTTAGCACAATGCACCTGGTCCAATGTTTGTGAGCTCATTGTTGGCTAACACAACAGCCTTGTGGAGCAGAAGCTCAGGGTAGTGACTAGATTACTGGAATACCCTTTACATGGTGCTGCCGTTGAAGACTACTCAGAAGCTGCAGTTGTTGCAAAATGAAGTAGCCTGTTTGTGTGCAGGTGAAAGCCACGGCTCTCACACACAACACTGGTACTGATTCTGCAATGGCTCCCATTAAGTTCTGGCTACAATTCAAAATGCTCGTTTTGATCTGTAGAACCCTATATGGTATAGTGTCTGCATTTACTTCAAATTGAATCTATCTGTCCAGTACAAATGTAGCCGTGTTGAGGGTTCCTCTCCTGTGGGAGAGTTGATGGACAGCAACTCAGTAGTGCTCAGTTGTAGCACCAACTCTCTAGAAAAGTCTCCCAGCAGGGCATCCATGGGGAGAGGGGGTCAAAAAAGTCAAGAGGGCACCTACAGCTGTGTGATCAAAACTCCACCCCTTATATATTTTGCATACATGATGCACTAAAAAAGGTGTAGGGCTTTGATTGCATGGTTATCCTGACTTTTTTGGCCCCCCACACAGTTGCCCCTGTCTGGAAATACTCACTGCAACTGGTCCAAATGTTCTTCACTTCAGGAAAATGTGGTAGTTGGGGAAGTGGGTCAGGATGCTAATAAATACTAAATATAGGCAGACCTCACTTTATTTATGTATTTACTTACAGTGTTTGTGTATTGCCCATTCTATTTGACTCCAGGCAGCCGGTGTATAGTTCTTAAATGACCTGGAAGCTATGTCCTTAATGGTGGGAGCTGATCATCACCGTTCTGTTTCATGTTTTAGAGTATGACAGCCAGGGCTTCGGCCTCCTGAGTTCCAGGTCCTCCATGCAGAGTCAAGATATTGTCCCACACTTTCTGACTCATCCTTCTGCCCAGATTTTGACTTTATTCTTTCCAAGCTGACAAATCCAGACTTGGGATTCGGCAGCAGTTCACAAAATCGCTTGGATAGCTGGTCATTTTGAAAATGCCCCTGGTCACCTCTTTGATGTGTGTGTTGTCACAAATCATACGGGAAAATGAATCGCTTTTCAGAGCACGGAGCTGCAGCGGGGTAAAGACCCCACGGTTCTCCCACCAATATCTGCCAAAAAAAGAGGAGAAAAGTTGCAGTAGATGAATGATGATGGGAATAATAATAGTAATAATCATAATAAAATTGACTCGAGGAAGTACAGTGGGGCAAAAAAGTATTTAG